TCGTATGGTGGAAGATGGAGAAATATATAACAGAAACGGTCGAAGAATAATAAAGATATCAGAATATTTTCTGTGGTTTATATTTTGAATAATTCAGGAAATAGTGTAATGATACTTGTCAAGTTGCATTGTTTTTATTTACTGCACTACATTTTGGAAGAAACAGTGTCTCAAAAAAATATTATACACACAGGAGGTTTGCAAAATAATTATAATTAATTAACATGTAGTATAATCGAGTAACAACCGAAACAAATCAACATATGTTACAAAGTAATAATCGCCAATAAGCGACCGTTAATTCAAAGTAAAGTTTCCATTCTTGAAATGCCTGCCCATGAAGTTATTACAGATGTCGCTTGGCATGTAGGAACTATATAATGTAGCGGCACTCGATAACTTGCTGGTGTGACTAGCGGGAAGGAATCACTATAATGTCGTCGAAGTCTTGTGTGACTGTGTGAAAGTGCTGGCACGCGTGTGGGGGCACAGTGGTTTGGCGATGAAGGGGTAATTGGGTAAACTTCTTGGCTTCGATGACGTTTCACGCTGCGGTCTGATTTCTTCGGTGAGCAGCCTAATATACTTGATATACTAAAGTCTTTGCATATCTTTGTCGTTTTCTCAGTCGATGAAGGTGTGTCAAATCTTGTGACGGGCAGCTCAGGACAACTTTGATTGCACTTTACAGTTGAAACCGCACTTCGGGAGGTTTGGTGAAATCCTTGCTCACCGTATTTCTGTTCGCTGGCGTCCGCGAAGTTTGATAAGGATGAACTCAACGAGCGACTGTCTGATCTCCTATAACCTCGAACACGGCGGCGATAGTTTCCCTCAGTAAACATTTCTTCCCACCCGGCGCTGAGTCCCCAGAAATGTCCGTGCGTCTGATCATGGACGCTACGGTCAATCTTTACGAAACAGCTGTTCATCGATAGGTTGTGACGAATTGAGTTCTTCCAACTCGGGTTTTTGTCTCGATAATACGGGAAAGTTGACTTAATGTACCCATATATGTCTTTAAGTGTCGCTTTCTGATTGTGATGTGACCGGATAGCCATGATGATAAG